CTCCGATTGGCGGTGCCGCGTTGTCCCGTTGCTTTTCCCAAGTCTCCTGGCATGTGAGTGTGCTGACCGCGGACGGATTAATCCCGGAGTCTGGGCTGCAGGCGGCTGGTTTTTGCCCTGCGCACTTGACTGCAGGCGTCAGTTTTCGCCCCATGCTTGGTCTGCAGGCTCCGTTTTCACATGTGTTTGAGCTAACTGAGGGGCAATGCATATTAAATGGCATCAATCTCTATTGTCTGAGGGATATAAGAGGAGCAATGTGCATTAATTCAGATTCATGTTCTGCCACTTGCAGTAAAACCACGTTGGAAAAAATTTGCAAGACTACCCCATCGTGCTCCAGACGGTACACACCAGAGCTCTTGCCACGGCGCCATCTTTACAGCATTAATCTCATTACTCGCAGGTCACTATTGTTAAATGAATGTATTTAAATTCGTCTATCTGCGGGAGGAAGGAGGGGCCATGCATTTAAATAGCTAGGTCACTAGTATTAAATTAGGTAACTAAACTGCAGTTGTTGCATTTTGAAAGTGCAGCAGAAAGAAAAAGGGCCCAATGTGAATCTGCAATGGGTGTGAAATGGTGTTGGAGCTAATGAACGCATGGAAAAGTGATCGTTCATGCGTATCTGCCATAACCAAAGCAGCAAGATGGCTCCAGGGGACATCTGTTTTTCGCATGGGAATGTTTCGGATTCGGGTTGATTTATTTCCTCAGGCTCTTAAACAACCATGGGCATGGTTCTCTGACCGCCGCTGCTGCCGGTCCCTGCTGCCGGTCCCTGCTGCCGGTCCCTGCTGCCGTTCCTACTGATGCCTGATCCCGCTGATGCTTGTTCCCGCTGCTGCCTGTTCCCGCCGCTGCCTGTTCCCGCTGCCGCTCCAGCTGCTGCCGGTTCCTGCTGCCGCTCCTGCTGCTGCCTGTTCCTGCTGCCGCTCCTGCTGCTGCCTGTCCCTGCTGCCTGCTCCTGCTGCTCCTACTACTACATGTGCCCCTGCTGCCGCTCCGCAGGCTCCCAGGCTGCACCTGTCTCTACGGCTCGGCTCTTTCAGACACGTATGTAACCTGGCTCACGGAGACGAGCGGCGCACGCTGGCATGACATGTCTGTTTGTTCGTATGAATCGCATTGTGGTGCTACTGCTCCTGCTAATGCTGCTTCTGCTGCTTCATACTGCTACCGCTACTGCTGCTACTGCTGCCGCTGCTGCTTCATACTGCTACTGCTGCCGTGCTGCTGCTGCTTCATTTACTTTGACACCTCTCTTCACTTCGCATCTCTTTTACTGAAACACTAAACAGCTACAACAATATTCTACTGCTGTGGCTTTGATACAGGATTATTGCTGTTATTATCTACGGATGCTGCAACTGCTGCTGCTGCTGCTTCATACTGCTACTGCTGCTGCTGCTGCTGCTTCATACTGCTGCTGCTGCTGCTACTGCTGCTGCTTCATACTGCTACTGCTGCTGCTGCGTCATTTACTTTGACATCTCTCTTCACTTGCATCTCTTTTACTGAAACACTGAACAGCTACAACAACATTCTACTGCTGTGGCTTTGATACAGGATTATTACTGTTATTTTCTAAGGATGCTGCTGCTGCTGCTACTGCTGCTGCCGCGGCTTGATACAGGATTATTGCTGTTATTATCTGAGGTTACTGCTGCTGCCGCTGCTGCTACTGCTACTGCTGCAACCCACTCTCTCAGAAGCTTATCCTGCTTCTAATGGATGCAGCCCGGCTGAGTATGCCGCGCTGCGCTGGACTCGCACCTATGCTCCCAGGGTCGCTTCGGTGGTCATGCTTCATCTCTCTACTTAATCTTCTGATCTATCAGATGCAGCTGGCCGAGTAGCTGCGCTGAGCTGTCAATCGGACTCCTAATCAAAGGCATCCATTCCTGTATTCTTCACTCTTCTGATCGCAGGCTCCCCATCATGCTGCCCATCCTGCAGCGGCACTGAACTCCGGCTCATCTTCCAAGTACATGTCTGCCCTCCTCGCAGCATCTTCCTGCTCGCCTTCTATGGCTTCTCTGCATAAGCGAGTTCACTACTGCTCACTCAACCTTCATGCGGTCCGAGACCCGGCTTTCCCGACCATCCTCCTATCCTGATTATCTACTCTCCAACCCAAGATCCTAAGCGTAAGGGCGCCTGCAACATCAATGGCCCTCTCCGATATGTCTCTGCCCCTACAGGTCTCCGCTTCTACACGGACGCTGCCCCTTCCGTGGGTTTTGGGGGGTTCTTCCAGGACCCGTGGTTTGCCGGGCCGTGGCCGCTACTTTCCACCGGAGCATCTCCTCTGCCCTACACGAGATATTCCCAGCGGTCGTGGCCTGCGCGCTGTGGAATCACACGTGGCAGAGAAAGAGGATCTCTGTCATGTGTGATAATCTCGCCGTAGTGGAAGCATTAAACAAAGGTCGCTCTTCTTCACCCAACATAATGTCCCCTGACCATTTCAACCTTCATCTCAAACATTCAAAGATCAAAGGAGCCTGCAACACAATAATAGCTCGCTCCGACACATCTCTCTGCCCCTACAAATCCATGATGCGTTACACTCGCCTCCGCTGCATTTCTCACTCCAGACAACCTTCCCATGACAGCAACCTGGTTCAGAGCTCAGCTAAGATCCCTACTGCTCCTCTGTAAATTGTCTCCCCAGCTCTATACAGCCCACTCCTTCAGGATAGGCGCTGCCACGCGCGCGGCCTCGCTGGGGCTCCCCCACACCTCTCTGCAACAGCTGGGGCGCTGGTCCTCTTCGGTTTTTTCCGCCTACATCAGGCCAGACGCGTCCGCTATCCTGGCTGCACAACGTCTACTGGCTTCCTCGTAAGCTCCCAGCAAAGCAATACGAAGCAAAGTAAGTGAAGCAATAAGATTCTGGTGGCGCCACGCACTTTTTCTCAAACACTCTCCGCTGCCGCAGCGTCTGACGGAACGTGATGCGAGCGCTCACGTTCCCAGCGCTCAAAGATAACTCTGCTGCAGCGTCCGGTTGATTGTGATGCGAGCGCTCACGTCCCGGCGCTCAAAGATAACTGCTGCAGCGTCCGGTTGATCGTGATGCGAGCGCTCACGTCCCGGCGCTCAAAGATAACTCTGCTGCAGCGTCTGGTCAAACGTGATGCGAGCGCTCACGTTCCCGGCGCTCAAAGATAACTCTGCTGCCGCGTCTGGTTGAACGTGATGCGAGCGCTCACGTTACCGGCGCTCAAAGACAACACTGCTGCAGCGTCTGGTTGAACGTGATGCGAGCGCTCACGTTCCCAGCGCTCAAAGATGCCCAGCGGACGCAGCCTGGCTGAGCGTCCGTGCGAGAAGCCTCGCACTCATGCTCTCAGGCCTGCGCAGCGCGTCCCGCTATCCCTTCGCAGGCCCGTTTTGGGGATTATGCGCGCGAGCAGGGAATTATCACCAGGTCTAAACGTGATGACTGACAGATCAAAGACCAAAAAACCAAAAACAACCTGAAAGTTCAGAAACTGGCTTCACCTCTAGAGGCCAACTCCTGTTCCTACAGATAGCTCAAAGAATAAGGACACTGTAGTTACAAGTTTTAACGTGATCACGGGGAAGACACTTCAAGCCATTAGACTGGAGGCAGAGTAATCTCCCGAAGCCTCTTTTCCGCATCACAGCTTTTATTTTACACAGAAAAGTAGGCGTGGTTACATTTTACACATTGCCATATATAGTTATGATAGCAAGTAGTTGGTGAGTTGGTGCGTCTTAGTGACGCCCTCCAACTCAAGCGCAAGCTCTGAAACTTTCCGTTGGTCTTTATCAGATAGAGAACTGTTGCAGACTGTTGCAACTCACATCCTGTTTCCCTCAGCACACACACTTTCACATCCTGTTTCTCTGCAAAATACCTTCACATCCTGTTTCTGTGCACAACACTTTTCATGACATTTGTTTAACCCAAAGAAAAAGACAGTTCTGACAATAAATGCAAGCGTCAATAAACAACAATAAAACCTGAACATAAACCCTGGATTCCTTCACAATTTCCCCCTGTTTAAACAAATTTCACAGAAAGTGTTCCGAGGCTAATCTTCCCGTTAGGGTTTGGATTAGCTCCTTCATTAATTTCGGAGAATTTGTACAACATGGGTTAACAATCACTTACTCTCTATCTACGTCCAGGGTCGTCGTCAGACAAGTCATCATCTGGGTCCAGTATGTCAACATCAATCAAGCGTACCTGTTCCTGAATCATCAGGCCTTCCAGTGGTTTCAGAGCGTTGGACATCATCTTTTTTATCACAACACGAAATAATGGAATACAGCAACATATGAAAGCAATAAGACATACTAGGATTATAGCTAAACCCAGAAAAATTGCCTTAGCCAGGTCTTTATATTTGCCGAACCGGCCAAACCAAGACTCCAAGGCATTGTTGACACCAGAATGAGCCTTCATCTGTGAATTAAACTTCTCCAATCCTTGTAGAACTTGTGTCAATTTTCCTCCTGACTGTGTGTTATTTGGAATAGCAGTACAGCACTGACCATCTGGGAACAGGGAACATACCCCTCCCTTTTCGGCCAGCAACATATCTAGGGCGATTCTGTTTTGAAATGCCATGAGTGAGGTTGCTTCCAATTGCTCATTGACAGCTTTCAGTCCCGCCAGGGTGTAATTCCCTAGAACTTGAACATTATAATGAATGTAATTGATGCGGTCAACATTCTTATTTATCACAATTTGTGGAATCAGACTTTCAAAACCAGAGGCGATGGGGTCAGCTAATTTATATTCGTTTGGCACTCCTCTGGGAACCCCGATGGCATCTATATAAGTGGGGTTGTGTGCTGGGAGCCAGTCTAATGCCTCTCGTTTAGCCCTAGTCATGGGATTGGGTAGCTGTGGTTTGACAATAGGCCTACTTGCAAGCAGCACATCGAAGTCTATCTCATATATGGAGGTAGAAATGATCAGAGTGACCAATGCACAGCGACCTGTTGTGGGGAGTTTGTCACGCAGCGCCGACCCTCCACACCACCACCACAGGTCCGCCCTGGACACCGTTGTCACACCCTGTTTCCTGTGTATGGTTGTTTGACAGTACTTAGGGGACAACATAGTTTCTGTTGACTCAACGGGTGTGCCTCTGTCACCTATGATCAGGATACATGTGAAATTCATGAAAGCCACTTCGGAGTCAAACATGGGTGTCCCTGTGCTTGGGGGAATCACTGGAAAAGTTTCAGCATATTTCTTAAGGTCAATATCTAAAGCAGTCTGCGTCATTAGGTTGAGCACATCCACATTGTTGGGTAGTGGGGCGGGGACTACACGTACTGGGGGTCGTGGTCCCATGCACACTACACAATCTCTGGATTGTCGCTTTGCTGCTTGTTCTGCTATTAACAGCCAATTATTCTGATGGCCTGAAATGCCTGATGTGGTCCTGAACCATGTATCAGTGTTTGTTTCAATAATCACCGCTCCCCTTTTAGCGTAGATCAAGGTGGGAGATGGTATCAGTGTTTCTTTAGATCTATGGACTAGGAGGAAATACACCCCTCCTTTAGATTTGCGCCTCAAAAACCATTCTCTAACTGGGCGGTACCATGTATCTGGTTTATCAGGGTCAGCTTGGTAGTGTCCTGTAACAGTGTTATAGTGCACCCACAACCCCCCTTCTACAGCGGTGTACGGTACAGATGTGGGAGTACCTGGTGGAAACGACAGGGCACCCTGCCATTTAGATTCTACAACCCACTCGTCATGTTGGGTACACCCTGTGGGACGTCTTGCCTGGACATCGGACAGCACGCTACAGGGTATATATAGAGAAAAATTACCCTCAGGGGGTAAACAAAACCCTGGGTCCCTTGTCGCTCTTCTATACAGTTCAGTACATAGTTCTCCTGGGGTCTTCTGTGGCTGCTCTGGACCGTTGGCGACGTTGTTGACTGGGGCTGTGAAGGTCAGCGTAGCCAGGCCTAGGACTAAGCCTATCAGAACCTGGATCGATCTCATCGTAGCCAGGCCTAGGACCAAACCTATAAGAACCTGGATCGATCTCATCGTAGCGGTTGTGGGTGTCACAGTACCGTTGTTGTTCACAGCTTACCAACGACGTCCTGCGTCTCTCTAGGCGTTCGGGTCAAGTTGGTCTCGGAGCTTGCAATGGGAGAGATGCACCCACGAGGTCCGTCCCTCAATCTTCACTGCCGTGGGGGTGGAGATGGTGACGACGTGTGGACCCTCCCACCGTGGGCTGTTCCAGGACTTCCTCTTTATCACTTTGATGAACACACAGTCCCCTGGTTTCACAGTCCTTTCCTGTTGAGAGAACGGTTCGGCAGGCAATTTATGCACATTTTGAATTTCCCTGCTCTCAAACAGTTGTCTCATATATGTCACCAGGTCTGGACTAGTGTCCGGTCTGTCCTTCTCGGTCAATTGTAAGTCTGGAATAGTGAATGGTCTTCCATACAGGATCCCAAATGGAGACAAAGAGTTCTGGGTGGGTAAAATATGTAGATTCGTTTTTACAAGATCCACACATTGCGGCCACGTTCTTCCTGTGTCCTTAGTAGCTTTGGAGAGTTTATTCTTAATTGTTCCGTTTACTCTCTCTACCAGTCCTGCTGATTGAGGATGGTAGGCACAATGATTTTTCAATGTTATTCCAAAATGTTCACCTATGCGATGGATTACTTCATTAACAAAATGAGCACCACAGTCTGATCGTATAATCTGAGGAATCCCAAAGGTCGGTATTATAGTCTTACAGATGGCCTTAGCCACTGTGAGTGAGTCATTACTTGCAGTAGGAAACATTTCTACCCACTTGGAGAATGCATCAATTATTACTAAACAATACCTTAGTCCATTAGTTTTGTTTAGTTCTATGTAGTCCATGTGTATTGTGTGAAACGGGTGTGGAGGCTCTGGGAACCTCCCTCGCTGTGGTCTCGCTGCTGAATATGGTTCGACAAAAATTTTTGAATAATCCTATTGTTGTATAGTATTGATTCACTAATGAAGTCATTCCCCCTGTTGACACATGGCAAGGACCATGAGTCAAATTTACACTAGCCAATAAACCAGATTTTAGTAACCATGGGTTTTTTATCGTCACCAACGTAAGTCCATTTCTATCACAACACCCTTTTGCTGTCCATGTACTTTTTCTGAGCTGTCGCACTCTCCTGATGATAGGTTTCAGGATTTCATGGCTGTCACAATCATCTGGTACAGTCGTTCAGTATTTACAATGTGTACAGAGGCTGCTTTCTTAGCTGCCAGATCTGCCAATCTATTTCCTAGGGAAACAGATCATCCATTTTGGTGCGCTGCACATTAAGACTGACTCCATGAGAATATACAGGCTACTTTGGCTTGGCCCTGTCGATTACGGTTTGGTAAAAATAAATAGTGGTCATGTGCTTCAGGTCCTGTAGTCAAAATAAAACTATCACGACTGAATATTTCTGCCCTGTAAAACTAAAGCTCATTTCATGGCTTTGTCATCACATACAAAACTGTTGAACTCGTTCATAAGGCCAAAATCTGTCAATCTGATTTCATACAATACTTTATCTTTTTTACATGAACATTTTTCCTAACATGACAAGGTGTGTTTTTTTATTGTTTACATTTGTCACAATTCTACCATAATGATGTGGGATTTCATAACACTTTTAAGCAACTTTTGTTAAAGTTAAACTCATCATTCTATCAATGTGCAGAAGCCAGTACTTTACCCTTGTTTTGTCTATCTGAAGGCCAAGCTACATGGCACAACGTGGCACCTGCTGATTGGAGGTCTCCATGCCAACGCTCTGTATAATACACTTGCATTCTGTTGTATCTGTTGTTCGTAAGCTGTCGCTAACCATCGACAATAAAACATGTCTTCTGTCTGAATTAAAGACGCAATCCCAGACTATGTCATCTTCTTCAGGTGGTGGAAGGATGCGGGCATTGTCTGTAACATCTAGAGAACAGAAGACTTTTTTTTTTTTTACACAAAATTTTTTTTTTTTTTTCAAGCCAAAACTGAGAAACCTCAAGAGAATGCATCTGGATCAGCACATGGACAATCTGCACAGCCCCTGATTCCCACTCAGGCTGTGAGCGTGTGAGACATGGACCAACACCAGCGTCCTCTTTTGCATGGACATCATTTGGAACAATGGATTACACAATGACATCATTTGGAACAATCTGGATTTCTGAATTTGGACATAATTTGGACTGAATTGAATTGCTGAATCTGACACTAAAGCTGTAACGTGCGATTGAAAGACACTCACAGAAGAATTCAATGGCTCGACACAAATGAAGAGCCTGAAGAAACCAACACAGAGAAGTGGAGAGACTGTTTCAAAGCAATATCTGGAACCATCCGACTGTGAAGTTTGGTATTTTACTGAAGATTGTTGACAAGTTTTATGAAAGATCTGACATGTTTTAGTTTTCTGAGTTTTTTGAAGTACCGAGTGAAGTACCGAGCTTAAGTATTGAGTTAGGATGTTAGGTTGCTGTTTATCGATCCTGATGGTCACACGTGAATGTGTGACTAGAAGGGGAATGTGAGATTTCATAACACTTTTAAGCAACTTTTGTTAAAGTTAAACTCATCATTCGATCAATGTGCAGAAGCCTGTACTTTTCCACTTCATGTTGTGTTCTATCTGAAGGCCAAGCTACAAGCACACCGTGGAAGCTGCTGATTGGAGGTCTCCATGCCTCCGCTCTGTATAATACACTTGCATTCTGTTTGTATCTGTTGTTCGTGCTGTCTCTACCATCGACAATAAAACATGTCTTCTGTCTGAATGAAAGACCGATCCCAGACTATGTCATCTTCTTCAGGTGGTGGAAGGATGCGGGCCTTGTCTGTAACATCTAGAGAACAGAAGACTACTTTTTGTTTAAAGTCATAATTTCAATATTTTTTATTTTTATACACACATTATTAACTAAATGTTGCGTTCTAATCTTTTCTTAGAGGAGGAGAGCGCAGTCAGGCCAGGCTCGCCTCGCACATCTTAACACTAGAACGCCCAGCCAAATTTGGGGCTAGTTTAGAGAAGAGGAGCTAACCCGCTACTTGGGTTGCTAACATTTGCATGTCAAATGAGTGATGACCGAAACAACAGGGGGCTAGGGTGGGCTTTGTTTATTCGTCTGGGGAGGAAGGCTGCGAATGATGACTTCCAGACTGTGAACCCTGAGAATTAATATACTGTATTATATTTTGTAATAAATTTTTCTCAGTGGCTTTGGTGCATTTAAAGTTCTCGAAACATTAGTCAATTTTTCTTATTTTGTAGCATTTAAAATCAATAAATCTCACTAACCAAAAAAAACCTGTGTGTTTGACCTCTCCCTAAGATGGCAAAGTAAAGTGGTGTGATTTCACATATTACTGCATATGCAATAATACAGTAACTTATGTCTCTTTATATAGATCAAACATACAAAAAAGCGTTATGGTAGAACTCTGATAAATGTAAACAATATAACACACCTCTTCATGAGTGAAAGCTGTAATTCACCTAAGAGCATTGTTCAAATTTAGAAGGGATTTTTCAGGATATAAAAAGATAGAGGAATGTATGAAATTAGCTTGACAGTATGTTTCATTCTGACTGAAGCAAATGATAATGTTATAAAACTGTATGTTTCATTCTGACTGAAGCACATGATGTTATAAAACAGTATGTTTCATTCTGACTGAAGCACATGATAATGTTATAAAACAGTATGTTTCATTCTGACTGAAGCACATGATAATGTTATAAAACAGTATGTTTCATTCTGACTGAAGCACATGATAATGTTATAAAACAGTATGTTTCATTCTGACTGAAGCAAATGATAATGTTATAAAACGGTATGTTTCATTTCTGACTGAAGCACATGATGTTATAAAACAGTATGTTTCATTCTGACTGAAGCACATGATAATGTTATAAAACAGTATGTTTCATTCTGACTGAAGCACATGATAATGTTATAAAACAGTATGTTTCATTCTGACAGAAGCACATGATAATGTTATAAAACAGTATGTTTCATTCTGACAGAAGCACATGATAATGTTATAAAACAGTATGTTTCATTCTGACAGAAGCACATGATAATGTTATAAAACAGTATGTTTCATTCTGACAGAAGCACATGATAATGTTATAAAACAGTATGTTTCATTCTGACAGAAGCACATGATAATGTTATAAAACAGTATGTTTCATTCTGACTGAAGCTCATGATAATGTTATAAAACAGTATGCTTCATTCTGACTGAAGCACATGATAATGTTATAAAACAGTATGTTTCACTCTGACAGAAGCACATGATAATGTTATAAACAGTATGTTTCATTCTGACAGAAGCACATGATGGTGTTATAAAACAGTATGGTTCATTCTGACTGAAGCACATGATAATGTTATAAAACAGTATGTTTCATTCTGACTGAAGCACATGATAATGTTATAAAACAGTATGTTTCATTCTGACTGAAGCACATGATAATGTTATAAAACAGTATGTTTCATTCTGACTGAAGCTCATGATAATGTTATATAAACAGTATGTTTCATTCTGACTGAAGCTCATGGATAATGTTATGTGCTGTGAGAAATGCACTAAGCCACTGGAGAAAAACTAACTATTCAGATCCTCCCCCTCCCCCTAAGATGGCAAAGTGAAGCAACTTTAGCTCAGCCTGTGATAACGGCCCTATTTACACAACAAAGTTGGCCGTTCACAGGTGATTTCGTTTGTTAGCTAAAATCCTTGGGTCATTTGACACCGTGGAGGGATGATAGGTATAAGTGCCAAATGACACCTCCATGCGAGTGTTTTATGAAACAGAATTCTGAGAAAAACAGGTTTAAAGATCGACATTCCAAACATAATCATCACAGTCATATAACATGTAAATTTTGAATTGGCACACTTGTTTTATTCACTATGTTGTAGAAGATTAAAAAGATGTTACTTTGGCACCAATTAA